TTCCTAACACGCGATGTACATTGCGACAGTAATGACGTACGCATTCAGGGTCAGCTGCATCGGTGCAACCCCGAAGTGGTCCAGGAACGACCTGATGAAAGGGTGCAGGGGGATAAGTCCTCCACCTTTGATAATCTCCTCGGAGATCACAGCCAGGCCACTTGAAGGGTATCACGATGAATGCGTCAGGTCATGGAAAATGTCCACCTTGATACCATATTGGCTTATTACTCTCTCGAGCTCTTCCTCGGTAAGTACCGAGAAAACCTCAAGAGGGATGCTAGGAGCACCCTGCGGGGATGAACTGGTTCCCTGCTCGGATCTGGATGCTGACGGGTCCATTTTGCCACTCTGTAAAAGCGACAAGCAGAAAGGTTATTTGGCCTCCGTATTTTATTTCATACGATGACGTGGGAGAAATAGACTCCCCAATTCCCAAGGAAAACCCTAACATCCCGATTCGAGCCACCATTCATGGCTCGAACCCGACGCGGGCGTTTCATCTCCGATGGGTTATCGAAAGACTAATGCCATTAACTCATGAAAATAATGAAACAATGGCAGAGAAGCCCTTACCTCTCGGAGTATGACGACTGTTTCTGCTTCAAACGCCGGAAAAATGCAGGTTTGGAAGACAAAGGTTCCTGGTTTATGAAAGTCTTTTGTTCTCTGTGAAAAAGGCTCTGGTGGCATTGCCTGAGAACGATTTCAGGTTTTTATAGCGTGTGAATCGGCATTTGGATTTCCCGGAATCGAAACGACGTTTGGGCGGCAAAGCTTTCTTGCCGTTGATCTTGACCACATGTCATTCATCAGCAAAGAAGGGTGAACGAAACGATTGGATAAAGTCAAACTTTCACCCTTCCAGTTGAAAAGCTCAAACGACGGCCATCCTCTCTCAGAGCATTAATTGCGCTTCAAATCCTCATTTAATGCTCTGATAGGGGGCGTTGTTCCAATGTACAACGCATTCAATGCTCTAGTAAAGTGCACTGTTCCAGCATGCAACGCATTAAATACGATTGGCTGGCATTCATCACGCAAGAAACACACCTGTCAGCGCAGGGATTGTTTCATTAAATGTATCCCTCTCATCAAAACAACGTGTGACGTCAAACGAGTCCAGGTCACTCGCCCTCTGCTAACCATGAGTATGTGAGGTCGCGTTCACAAAAATGTCACTCCAATCTATTTTCAAACAGACTAGAATTTCCAGAAATCATCCCGTTGCGGCATGACCTATAGTTTCTAAGGTTCAATCCTCAAACCTTAAAAACTAGGGGACTTCTGTTATGCCCAAAAAATACAAGGGCTGACGTCAGGTCCATTTAGCCCACAAAAGTCAGATCATTGAGACAACCATCGTCTGTCCCCGTCAGGATAGTGGGTGCGCGTCAGGCTAGCCAAGAGTTGTGGTGCTCCCATGATAAGAGTGTAATTGATATATTTTTATTCTTTCCATATTATGTTTTTTGTTATGTTTTATGCCTATTTGTTTAACAAACAGGCACTCAAAGTATATGTTCCATCATATGAGAGCTATGGAAGGATTTGGCCACACATTTTTGCGCGAGTTGTTGCCTCGCTGCTACTCTACCAGGTTACCATGTTCGGTTACTTTGGGGTGAAGAAATTCCCTTTTACTCCACTTATAATTCCACTTCCGATATTGTCCTTGCTCTTTGCCTATGTTTGTAGCAAGAAATTCTATAGATCTTTCAGCAACACGGCCCTTGAAGTTGCTTGCCACGAACTGAAGGAAACGCCTAACATGGAGCAGGTGTTCAGGTCCTACATTCCACCAAGCTTGAGCTATGAAAAGGCTGATGATGAGCAGTTTGAAGACGCATTATCTCAAGTTTCACGGTCAGGGTCGTTTGTTTGATGTAAAGGTAGTAGCTGAACTTGTGTGAACTTAAGATTAATTATTTGTTGATAGAGACCATGTCGCTGAGTTGTTTGTAATATTATTTTGTGTTGGGGGAATGCTACAAACAACTTTGATTTCTGTACAAATTATTGGCTTGTATAGTGTCATTTCCTAAATATTAATTGCCTTACCTAATTATTGCCAACCAGGCCGCCCAGCTACCTACTTAATTAATCAGCAAGTTGATAATTTTTTATCTTTATCAATAGTAAATTATGGATGTAGTGGTTATGATTGAAGAAGAATCCTATGAATGTAACTTAGATTTATTTTTTGATCTTTGTTTTACAAGTAACGTTACTTTACACCATTTTTTACATCATTTTCATTACATTATATTGTGATATATGTCATATTTACATAAATTTTTAATTATTTAAAAATTATAATATTATAATAGAATTATTATTAGTAAAATGAACATGGTGTAAAAAGTGGTGTAAATATAACAAGATTAGTGGTGTAAATATAACATTACTTTTGTTTTATATGGGAATAACTAAACCAATACCTGAATTATTAAGGCCTTTTGGTATCTAGGCCTTTCATTTGTGGCCCATGGCCAAAATTATTGGGGAAATTAAAGAATATTATTTTACGTATGACAATGGGGTGGGGATCTCATTCACCATACCCATCCCCCCCTTAAAATCATTCCCCATCCTTGATGACAGGAATTCCTCTTCCCCGTCCCAAAGGGGAATGTTGGAGGTCCGTCCTTGCTTCGTTAATTTTATATAAACATAAATTAATTTAAACATTATCAAACACAATAGTTAATTCTTATCCATATGACAAACACTTAAATTAATCGTTTAGACATAATTAATTATATATAAATATGGGTCAGGGTTTGTTCTTGTTCAATTGTTTAGCATGAGGGAAATTGGGAAAATATGGGTTTATATAGGTAGGATAATTGTGTTATTAGGTGAAATATAAGGATATTAGTGAAAAGTAAATATATATATAGTAAAACCTCTTTATAGTGATACTTTATATAGGAATAAACTCTACATAGTCATAAAAAATTCTAATCCAAATTTGGGATAGTTATAAATAAGAATAAACTTTACATTGTAATAAGTTATAATTTTTATAATTCCCGTCTTAAGGAAAGTTACCTCTATATAGTAATAATTATCTGTATATTACAAAAAAAAAAAAAAATTATATAAAATTAAAGGTTTAAAATGAAATAAAATATTTATTTAAAATTGTTTGGGACAATGATTTATGCTTTAGAGTTGTTATAACATCTTTTACCTTATGAGTACGTAAAATAGCTCGTTAGCATGAATACCATCTTGTTAAAGCAAAAATATTTTTAGTTTCTCAAGCATGTTTAGAGCTTCATGGCACAAGGCTTTTTGTATTTCCGTACTATTATCCTTAGGATTATTTCCTTTCTCTTTTTGTCTAATTGCGACAATGATTTCTCCTTTGGTTAAAACATACACGATTTGTTGCTCATTTGGATAATCGAATAAAACATTAATATTCATTCGATTAGTGTAGTGAAGTTGTCGAATCTGATCACTCAATCCTATAATGACTCTTTTATTCTGGAGTAATGCTAGCCTTACTCACTTCTCTTACTCACTTCTCTTACTCACTTATGGGGAGAATGAGTGATGTGGGAATCTTATACTAGTCTTACTCACTTCTCTCCATAAGTGAGTAAGAGAAGTGAGTAAGAGGAGTGAGTAACACTAGCATTACTCTTTATTCTTCTCATCTACTTTATTTGTAACTTACAATTCATTAACAATAGTGGTCCTAATTTTGCAGTGCTTAAAACCATTGACAATTGTTTGTGGTTTCACATCAATTGACCATGCATCAACTACATTTACAGTTCCATCAATGACACTTATTTTTGCTGGTTATAAGAAACGATCTTTTATCCTTTTCAAAAGTAGGCAATTGAAGCGTTGAATTGTAATCTTAATATTACTAAAATATGAATTGAAATTCAAATACTGTACCACTAAAACATGAATTATAAAATAAGAAATCAAAACTATAATTTTTGTAACTACACCTCTATTAAGTTATAACCTTCTGATAGTAATAAAATTAGTTAGTCCCACCATTATAACTATAGCGAGGTTTTACTGAATATATATATATATATATATATTAATTTTATATATTATATACGGGACGGGGCGGGGGAAAGACATCACCCACCCCCGCCCCATCCCCAAGGACAGGGATTAAAACACCCCCCACCCTCGCCCCATCCCCAAGGACAGGGATTAAAACACCCCTCACCCCCGCCCCTATCTCCAAAAAAACCGAGGCTTCCTTGCCCCATATGGGGCGGGGCGGGATGGGTCTACGAAATCCCAGGAAACATTGCCATGCCTAAATATTTTATGATCGATATGTATCATTTTTTTTTTTCTTTATGAAGATTTAAGGTTTGGCTTAAAAACATGGATTCCATTTTTCTTACTATTTAGCTATAATTTTTTTAACATTCTATCATCCGTAATATTGTTAGCCAATTGAAATATAACATTACCAAATTTCATTTTTCCTTGTTAGATTTTTCTTTTCTAAAAATCATCATTTGATGATTGAGTGGTTAATTAAAATTTTTGAGTGTATTATTTAAGAGGTTGAGTTCGTTTACCTCAACCCTTGATAGGAGGGGTCACTAGAAACTTATCCGGTTGTTATCTTCAAGGCCTTGAGAGATTAATTAAGGTGCGTTTAAGTTAGCTCAGATATCCTCAATTAAAAAAAAAAAAAACTTGAAGTTGGCTAGTTTTTCAAAATAATAATAATTCATTTATTTTATATGGTATTATGGGATTTGACATTTGTAATATGTTCTAGTTGTAGGTTATACATATATTATTGTGGCAAGAGGACTATGGTCACATTCGTGGCTCTTAACTCCTGTAATTTATAAAGAATAAGATCCAGTCACATTTGACACGTCAAAAGCACAGATCACATCAATTCCATTATCTAGTTTTATTTTTACTTGATTATATGAACATCGACCCTCAATATAAATTTGCTGCATCCAGTCTTGATTGCGGGTAAATTTAAGAAATTAAAATTAATTACTCATTTATAAACAATTCTGGTAGAAATACAAATCAAATGAAGAATAAAACTAAAGTAAAAAATCTGTTAAAAATTCAGACTTGTTAATTTAGAAAGATTTCCTCAAGTAGATACAGCTAAGACACGAGTTGATGCTTCAATGGGAAATGGAGAAGGAATATCTTCAGGTTGTCTTCCAGGTTTCACCCATCTTCCATGCTTGTTCAACACAAGTCCTTTATGAGGCAATTGGTACCAAAACTCTGGAATTCTCAACTCCTCTATCAACATATCACCACTCTTATTCACCAATGCAATATCTCTCCTTGCATTCCATCTGAACTTTGATTTATTGCTCAAATACCCATCTAAAACATGAAGATAAAGTTCCAAATTATGACTCCCTGATAAGTCTGAATCTTGCTTCAAATAAGGCGATATCACCTTGTCAATCTTCAATTGTACTCCAACATGCCTGTAAACCCAGTTCAATCTCTCTGTTATCGGATTCAGCTTCCGAAGAATTTTGTTGAACACAAGTCCTGGCAGTTTCGGAACAATATCTTGTTTCACAACAACTCGAAGCGTCTTCACTCCCAATTCACTCAGCTTTTCTTTGAAGAAGATGTTGCCAACTCTTGGCGCCCCGAATGAAATGACGCTAATGAATAAATGAGGAAACGTAGTTGCAGCTTCATATGCATTGAGCAGTGACAATGCGCCTCCGAGGCTGTGGCCTGTAATCGTTAAGCTCACTTCTTCGCCTCTTTCTTGGAAAAAATTTACTAGTCTGTTCAGCTCTTCCATCACTTGCTCCGACGCGCTTAGCTTGTTATATCTTGTTTTCTCGCTCTTGGATTTGTAGATACTGAGGAACCCGTGTTGGACATGGATTCTTAATTTTTTACTTCCGAATTTATCTAGCTTTGTTTTGAGATCCATGAACCATTCGCTTGGCGCCACAGTGCCGCGCCACGCCACGACTATGTCTCTCCTGCCAATTCTTTCGGTTTCTATGTCGCTGCTCACTGCGACATAGCCCATCCAATTTGAATCTTTGCTCCAAGTTCGGCCCAATTCGGACCTCTCAAACCATTTAGGCACATCTACATGAGACATGGCGTATATGTACTTGGTAACTTTGTAACCATTCCCAGTAAGGCCTAATTCTTCAAAAAGCTTATGGCTATTATATCTACAACTTCCACAAAATTCTGATAAGGGATCGAAATCGAAGGCATCGTAAGTTGCTTCCACAAATTCTCCATATTTGATTATCTCTCGTCGGAGTGAGGGATGGAGTGGTTCAAGAAGACCGTCCCAGTTTCTTTGGCCGTGGATTTCACGCCAGTTTGTTGAGATATTTTCTCTAGGGGATTTAGTCGGAGTCATGTGGTCGCCATAGTCAATAAAATCAGAAGCAGAATACGACTTAAGAAGGAGGGCGGCCAGAGGTTTGGTGGGGCTTTTCTTTGTGCGATTAGGCGCGTTAATGGCGTCTTTATGGACTCCGATGTTGGAGAGTTGTTTGATGCTTGGGCCGCAGCTCAGATGAAAATGGTGAGGCTTGAAGCTCCCCATTACTGCCTTCTTGATGGCACTCCAACTGAGACTAATCTTCAATTTCCATACCCTCCTTCTGCTTCTTCTTACACTTGATTTCTTATCCCTTTTAACATGTCTCATAGGTGACATTTCCATTATGATAGTTATCTGATAAACAGAAGATGATTCAAGAAGAAGAAAGAGACTGGGAAAGCGTTTTGAGTTTGAAGATAAAAAAGAAACTGAAGTTTTTGGATTTGGTGTGTAAATGATAATAAATGATGGGTTTATATTATATCTATGAGGGGATTGGTTTATAAAGGCTACAATTCTGGAGCTTCTACTTCCTGGCATGTCCTCACAGAGTTCTGGGAAGTTTCTGATAAAATTCAACCTTGAACTAATTCATATTCAATAGTCAATAGGGCCAGAAATTAAAAAAATTATTTAATTAGTAAAATATTGGAGAATGGACCAATGGTGGCTCATGTTTATCTTATTATTTGTTAATTTTGGAATTATTTAAGCTTATTTGATCAGTGTTAGGATTGTCTATTAGCAATTGTCTTGGGATTAATTAGAATATAAATTATTGATGCAAGCCATTATCTCATGGGGTAAATATAAATTTATAATTATCTCTTATCTCATCTGTAAGTCCTGCGTTAATTTGACTGGTCAAAGTAGAAGGCTCCTGTTAATTTCCACATCTATGAGAGAAGGCTGCTGGCAATTTTTCAGATTAAAAAATTAGTTTTATTTTATTCTATACGTCACTTATCTGCATGCATGTGCTACAGACAGGAAAGTTCTTTAAAACGCGTTTTTAATTAATTTATGATGAAATTTGTTATGCCTAAAAAAAAAAAAAAAAAAAAAAAATGTAAGGGCTGGTGCAGTCAGCATATAAGAGTCAAATTTAGCATGTAAGAGTCAGATCATGGGAACGTTCGTAGCTTGCTTCTGTCAGAATAGTGGGCGCGTGCTAGGCCAGACAAGGGCTATGATGATCCCACGTGTCCAATCCTTGCTCCAAATCACACAAATCACTATAGAAGGTGGGCAATGTGACATAAAGAAGAATTTTGCACGGATAATCTCACAAACTCACAGATTCAGTGATAATTGCCTCAATCTATTCCTCTATAAATTGAGAGCCCCCCTCTCATTGAAGGGGATTCGCATATTTTACATTTAATTAGCTACTCTCTCTCTCTCTCTCTAGAATTTTCAGCATTTGATACCTTGAATTACCATTGTAAAGTCAGTCAGCTAAAGTGACTTGACCCGTATCATCAATATAAGCATCAGTGGACGTAGGACTTGCTACCTTAGCATTCGAACCACTTTAAAAACTATCTCCATTGTATTTACTGTCATTTTCCTTTACATTCACTTGTTCCTTTTGGGCCAGCTCAACATTTCACGTGTATTTCGTTGGTGTAAAAATCACGCGTCAACAGTTTGGCGCTAGAAGGAGAGCCTGATTTAGTGTTCATCCTTCATCAGGAGAATCTCCAACTCACCGGTCCTACAATAGCAAATGGTCCGCCAACCAGAACCTGAGCAAACCAACCAGGGCGCCGAGGGGCTCCCCCAAGTCCAGGGGGACACTTCTTCCAAAAAACCTTCAGCCCCGCAAAATGCTGCGGGGGAGATCCCGTCAAGTTCACAGCTTGACCTCGCCATCAGAAGCTACCTGGAGAGGTTTGACAATACTCTCTAGACGGTCAGCCGAAGATTGGACCATTTGGACCAAGACGTGCCATTCAAGTCAGCTGCGGCGGTGCAACCGCCAAAAACGCCTGCAGGTCACGCGAAAGCACATCAAAGGGAAATAGCCCGTGCCGCGAGCACTGCAGCGCGTAGACGAAAGGGTAATCAAGTGGCAAAAAACAAGCCCACGGGCTCCAAAGGGCCAGCAAACACCGACTGCGTACCAAACAGGATACCAGTCTCGTTGAGACTCAGTGAAAAGACGTAGCCCGAGCTGTCCCATGCCACGTTGCAAGTACACACCCATAAAAGTACTAGACTGGGCAGTTCTTATCACCGTCAGCAAAACGATCCTGACCGTCACCGTGTGAGAGGGTCCCACACTTCGCGGGGTGGTTCTTACCACCGCGAAGGTCGTGAAAATACTCTGCACCTTTCGTCGTCATCACACGCCTCTAGCCAGCGTGTGTCAAGAGTGGCCGGAACCATTGGCCCAGGCGAAGAGGAACTCGACCTCCGGACTTTCCTCAATCGTAATCGCGATGGTCAAACTCACATGAGTGAAAGCAATCCCCAAACGGCTCCATTACCACAAATTGAGGAGCTGCAGCGAGCTCTAGACATACTAAGAGCTCAGCAAAATGAACAGGGCAGGTATCATCTGTGTCCCCCTTCTCTCCCGAAGTGTTAGTCGTTCCACTCCCACCAGGATTCAGGATGCCCGACATGCGGGAGTTTGATGGAAATTTTGATCCACAGGATCATTTATATGAATTTAACGACCTGATGGAGCTTCACCAGGTCTCAGATCTAGCAAAATGTTGTTGTTTGGCAGTGACTTTGACCTCTTATGCCAAACGGTGGTTCAGGTCGCTCCCAGCGGAATCAATCAGTTCGTGGCCTCAGATGAGTGCGACGTTCCTAAGGCCTTTTTCAAGCAAATCAAAAGTTCTCGATACCTTTGAGCTATCTCAACAATATAAGGCAAGAAAGGGATGAATCCCTCTAGTCCTACATTGACCGTTTCCACAGAGAACTCAACAAGGTGGCTCATACTCCCGAATAGTCTATTCGGACTCTCATCATAACCGGAGTTCATCCACAAATTGACCTGTGGAAAGAATTACAGGCTGAGGACGATGTTTCCCTCACAGGATTCTATAACCTTGCGGAGAAGTACCTTCGGATAGAAAATTCATTGGCGGCACTATGCCGTCGCGACCTCGGCGCTTCAAGCAGTATGCCTAGTCGGGGGGATAATAGAAGAGTTGATTGCAGAGGGGACGTTGACAATCAGCAAAAAGAAAATAAACCTCGTTACGAGCCTAAAAAGTCCTATGCTCCCGTCCCTCGTCACGATCGCGATAGAAACCAATACAATCCACTGAACGCATCTGTATTGGCTATTCTTGATAAATCCGAGGAAGCTAGCCTGCTTGGAGAGCTCGAGCCCATGAAAACTCCCGCGACAGCCAAAAATAATAAAAAATACTGCCGCTTCCATCGGGATAATGGGCATCACACAGATGAGTGCCGAGCTCTAAAACAGGCAATCGAAGAGCTCATCAAGAAAGGGCACTTCAAAGAGTATATTGACGACTCCGCTCCCGCGCAAGAGAAGAGTCAAGGGGAGCAAGGAAAAAAACGTCGTGATCGCAAAGGGTATAGTAGTGTTAAAATAATCTTTGGAGGGCCGCACCTCGCAGGCAACACACGAGATGCCCAAGAAAGATATGCTCGCGAGGCTCATCACGACCCAATTAGGGTGATGAACACGTCACAATGACCACAAAAAGTTCGCAAAGAAGAGCCGATTGCCTTCTCCGAAAAGGATGCATCTCATTTGCATCATTCTCACGATGACGCTATTGTGATCACGCCCCTCATAAGGCACCATAACGTCCGCAGAATGCTAGTGGACAACAGAAGCGCTGTGAACAATCTGTTCCAAGACGCTTTCGAAAGAATGAACTTGGACGAGACCGACCTGAAGCTCACCTTGATCCCTCTTTATGGTTTTACAAGGGACCACCTGATCCCCAAGGGAACGATCCAACTCCTAGTCACGTTGGGTGACTATGACGAAGTGACTAAGGTTACTGAATTCTTGGTCGTGGACTACCCATCTACCTTTAATGGATCCTAGGGCGACCTCTATTGAGAAACTTCAAGGCAGTCACTTCTATATACTATCTGAAGATGAAGTTCCCCACCCCGATGGGGATAGGAGAAGTTAGTGAATCTCAAAGCGCATCTCGTGACTGTTACATAAAAGCAGTGCAGATGGCGTGCAGAGGGAAGGGCATCTTGCATAGTATTCGCCGACAAGCTATAGCGATCAGTCGGATCAAGCCATAGCCTAGCCTAGCCCAACAAAGGATAATATGGATCCTCGAATTCAGGAAAGCCCTTCCAGTGGGCCAGTTGGGGATTTGTTCGAAGTACTGGTCGACCTGAAGGAGCCGAGCCAAGTGTTAAGGATTGGAAGCAGTCTCAACCCCCAGCTCGCCTTCGAGCTAATCAACTTCCTGAAAGAAAATATCGATGTGTTCGCCTGGTCGTATGCATATATGGTCGGGATCAACCCGAATATCATTTGTCATGCGTTGAACATCGACAGCGAAGCCAAGCCAGTTCGCCAGAAAAGAAGAGCAATGGATCCGGAGCGATATGCCGCCTTAAAATTAGAGGTGGATAATCTCTTCCGAAACAGGTCCATCCGAGAGGCACTCTACCCGACCTGGGTTGCCAATCCGGTTCTGGTAAAGAAGCCCAATGGCAAGTGGCGAACCTATGTCGACTTCAGCGGCCTCAACAAGGCCTGTCCTAAAGATAGCTTCCCTCTGCCAAGAATTGACCAGCTCGTGGATGCCACCTCGGGGCACACGATGCTAAGTTTTATGGACGCATACTCGGAATATAATCAAATTTCAATGTACGAGCCAGACGAAGAGCATACATCTTTTATTTCAGATCGTGGGCTGTATTGCTTGTAACGCTCCTGAGGTACGTAGTTAAGCTTTGCTGTATTGCTTAAATGTTCATTGATTCAGCTTCAATTAAACTTATATGTTGTTATTTTTGGTTTGGTTGGCCCTTGGTTGAATGGATGTATTGGATTGGTTGAGTGATTGCACTGAAAATTATGAAGACTTGGCGAAATGTTGTGTTACAGGCTTCGTCGGGGCGATGAAGAATCTTCGCCGCGGCGAAGAGGTGCTACAGCCACGGAGTAGCTGCTGGAGTGTTTCGCTGCTATGACAGGTCGGTTGAAAAGTTGTATTAAGTTTTAGATATTTTTCCTTAAGGGCAATTTAACCATTCCACCCCTAATTAGCAGGAAAAGTGGGGAGTAAAATGTAAGGAAATTTCATGGAAAATATGTTAGTATGGGGGTGTGTTTGTAAGGAATCAGAGGATATGGATGGAATTCCAAGAAAGAGTAAGGGCAAAATGGGAATGCTTGTGTATAAGTTGAGCTAAAAAGGGTTAAGTGTAGAGAATCCTTCATTTCCTCCATTTCCACCGCCTCTTCCATTCTCTACTTCTTCTCAAATTTCCTTCAATCTTCCAAGGATTTCT